AATAAATAAATAAATAAATAAATAAATAAATAAATAAATAAAGCATGTTTTTTGTCACCAACCAAAGATAGGACATCCGGCATCTCCGAAGCGGTCACAGTTCAAACATTTTCCAGCCAGAAAGTCTTCATAGGATGAGCAAGGATAGGCTCTGGTGAAACATGTTCTGTTCACCGTGTCCAGGAAAAGAAACACTGATTTCTGGTGGTCACATTTAAAGTAGGATCCTCCTGTTCAGCAGGTAAGAATGAGGATTTTTACCACATGAAATGTATTAATTATTGATACGGTCATTCACATAAACTAATTTTAATAATCTCACCAGAAAAGATGGTCTTGGGGCAGCCTGGTTGGTCTGCTCCTCCATTAGCATAGAAATCAATGTGACCAAGAGGTTCCCTGAAGCCAAGAGCTGAAAACACAAGTTAACTCATGAAAACAACACAAATAATGAATGATTCTGGGATCATAATGTGAATGCTGAGTGTTGAATGACTTTGCTGAAACTTGTTAAAACAGCTGAAATACAGTTGCTAAAACTAAAAAAGGTACAGCCTAGATTAAAGCTACAAAGACCTAAAGGCTAGCTACTGTATAAGCTAAAATTTGAATAGTGGCTAAAAGCTTAGACAGCAAAAGGTTAGCTAAAAGTAGCAAAAAGCTAGTTTGAAACAAAACAATTCAAAATCAAACAATGCCTGTATCACTCTGTACACACTCAAAATTATTGTGTGGCCACACSATAACTAACACGTTGGCACAACACAAATAACGCATGTTATTTGGTCACAAGATGCTTTTTTTAATCCATTTTTTAAAATCCGGATGGGTACCATCATTCGTAGTGTCTTTCTATGAAGAAAAGAATTGCAAAAAATGTTCAACATCTTTATAAAAGTTACAAAAAGAGCCTAGCACCTATATGAATCAATAAAGTATGCAGAAGGAGATGGCAAAACAGGTAAAAATAAAAAYAGACACACTGTTCACACATTTGTACAACAAGAACATTAAAAATTGCAAAATGATACTTAAACTGACCGTCAGTGTCTGTGTGCAGCACATCTACAAACTGAGCATCGGTCGGGTCCAGTCGATCTTCTGGAGGCTTGTTATTGAAACTAGGCCCAGCAACATCCAGACCTGCAGACACAATCACATTTTTAAAGCTCCCAAAGAGTAAAACATGCTGGTACCATCATAGTAGCTACAAGCTGTTCTTCTTGTCCACATAGATTTTGTTACATAACATTTCTTTCTAAGGAATTTCATCAAAACTGATGCTTTTTTCCTCCGATGTGTTGTTTTTCTAAACCAGCAGCTTGTCCTTAAAAATCCATTAGTGGAGACTTCACAGAGACTCCTTTTTGTAATCTTCTCATAAATAAAATAAATAAACCTCACAAGATAATTAAAAGTATTTTAAGGTGTAAATGTTGTCTTGTTTTCGTGCCAGATGCTTACCTGTGATTCTTCCAATTGATCCATTAAAGTTAGCTCCAACCATTCCTGATATATGAGCTCCAAGACTGACTCCAATCATGTGGATTGAGCTCAGAGAAGCACCATGATCCTAAGAAGATGAAACATTATAGGGGTTACACACAACACCGTCCATGGTGTACCTTTTTTGGTGTGTCACAATGACATATGGCCCAAATACCTGCATCATTTTAATGAAAGCTGTGAGGTTGTCCGACACTTTGCGTGTGGTCTTCACGGCTCTCAAATAATCCAGAGTAGTGGCTCCATGGTTCCAGTCCACCAGTATAGCATTCATGTCCTCCCTGTCCAGCAGCATCTTGGTGATGTACAGCCACACAGGAGGAGAGCCAGTGGGTCGGTACCCATGAACGACGAAGGTGGTGGGTTTGGACATGTTGAACTGGGGATGCTGCGTTAGGTTGGTGTGGGATAAAAGGACGCCACAGACGTCATTATGTCTGGTGTACAGCAACAACCGGACTTTGAGACTGGTGCCAATAAATGAATGACCGAGATGAAGATCTGTAAACCTGCCACATTTCTTAGCTAGAAATCACAAGGAGAGGGGAAAGAGAGAAATTCATTTTTTTAGGTTTTCAAAATAAATTTGCACAATCTCTCAAAGTGACATAGTGCATGCTTCTGTCAGAGACTGCATGTGGTTTTATTCAGTGAGTTATTTTTCCTTCAAAGAAACAGTTAGCTTTACTGATTATTACTAATGAATTTAAGTTTCCTGCAGTGGTAGGCACAGTTGCCCTAATCAGAACTAACTTTACATTTATCAGATTAACTAACCATTTTAAACTGCAGACAAATTAGCTTCAGCTAAATTGGGTTTTGCTCATTTTAATGTAAAAAAATATTTTATGCCATTAATCTGAAATTAAATAAAAATAAAAACAATCTCCTTTTACAAGCAGTGTTGGACGTTTCAGGCACAGTGTGTGTGGCATGTAGCCTCTTGAACAGTTAAACTTTAAACTAAAAGCATCAAAAAGAAATAAAATAGCATTTKACAATATTTAAATAGGAAATACAAAAACTGACTACATATAAAGTATGATATAGAAAGTATTTACTTGACTAACTTCAAACTGTATTTATAAAATACAAACTTGATCAAGATACTTTTATTTTAAACATAATAAACTGGAAGTTAGAGCTGTTTTGAAGTGGCTGACTTGCCACAGATGGTCCTTTCCATCTTCAAGTTAAATGAATAGAAAACTAACAGCTGTTCAGTCGGCTGTTATTCTTGCACAATTGCAGGTGCACAGCATTGTGTATTTTCTTGTAAATGTGCTGAAAAAAAAAAACAAAGTTGTTGTTCTTCCCAGGAAATTTCAGTTCTGCAGTTGTGGTTTTACTGTAGCAAGGCTACACTTGTGATGCACTTCGGTGTGATAAGTCATCATGTTTGTGGGTATGTGTGTAATAATCACACACAGACAGGGGGGAGAAGTGATGCGTGTCATGTTCTGCACCYTACCTTTGCACGTGTGGGCTGTTGTCAGCAGGAGAAGAGTCAAGTATCGCCACAGAAACATGTTTCACAGCAGCGAGTGAACTTCAAAAGAAACAGAAAAGCTTCAGTCACACAACGTTTGATCAGGAGGGTTTCATTTAAACACAACAAAGCTGTACTTTTAATTTTTTTTCTCTCTCTCTGACAGATGTAMAGCAAAGACAGGAGCCTGGTTACTCATCTACTCACTCCCTGGTTTGATGAAGGCAAAAGTTCAAACACATATTCATTTAAAGAGCTGGTCTGAGTTCCATACAAGCCAAGGAAATTTGTTTAAATGTCTGACTCCACCCTCAAACATGAATTACAACCAATGACACTGTGATTCTATGGAAAACTGCGGCTTTTGCTCTTTGAACTCAGTGCCCTATCTGTTACATTTTCTGATAGGTGTTCAGTTTCCTGTTTAAAGATGTATCTGAAGAACGGCAGAAATATAAAGTATCAGTCTTACCTTCTGCTTTGGTATGATAATCTGTGGCTCTGTGTGTTAAAGGTCCAGAGTGATAATCTGTTTGTGGCTCCACATATTTGAGAAAGCGTTGATTCAGGAAGTAAGAGAAGAAACAGAGGAGTAACACTCCCTCCCTGTGAGTGTGTGTGTGTCTGTGTAAATGTGTGTGTGTGTGTGTGTGTGTGTGTGTGTGTGTGTGTGTGTGTGTGTGTGTGTGTGTGAGTGCGTTCTCACAAGGAAAACCACACCCCTCGGCCCAGAGTCGTTAATGTGCTCACACAGGTGAAAAACTCCCTGAGAAGTCGGGCCTGTTTTCTTGAAATTCAAACTCGAAATGTGGCCTTTTATTGTTTTTAATTGAAGTCAAACATCCAAAATCAACTTAATCTCTCTTCATGCTAATGTTTTTTCTTTGTTTTCCTTCTTGTAGAGGTTAAAAATGAAAAGAAAATCACTGTAAGGGTCTTTTCAAAAACTTTCAATTCTGCAGGAAGGAAAATTTCTCAAATACTTTACAAACTGAGGTTAAAGGGCAGATGAGTGTTTCCCATATGCTGTAACAAATAGRATTTCCTTGAAACTCATATTACTTCCACCTTTTTTAGACTAAGATGATCTTATGCAGAGAAATTTTAGCTCAGTAAAAATCAACTGAATTAGGGCCATTTTTGTGCTAACAACATTTAGGTGTCTTTTACCAGATGGCTGTGGTGGCCATCTTGAATCAGGTTGGCTCCAAAGGTTAATTGACTGTAGATGTGCACTAAATCATTTACTTAGAATCCATCCAGCGGTTCATAACATATTTTGATAAACGGTCCACACACAGACATAATGTTCACCTTTGCCCTACAAATWTGCACACTAAAGAGAAAACACTTCCACTCTCAGTATAACTTGTAAATCCTTTTTTGCAGCTCTCCCTTCCCCTGCCTCTCCCATATCACACATCCTCTTTCTGCGAAGCAGATTTTCTTCCACTTTATTTCCACATCAACGACYACGTCAGCAGTGGTTTCTGCAAACATGAAAGACACCGTTAGAGATGACAGGACCACAGACGATGATGCTTTGAAATGTGGGTTTCCTGGTTTTATCCTAAGTTTTGGGTTGTAACCCTTTGAGACAACTCTGCTGAGATTAAACAGCTCTGATTTTCATGGTCTTCTTTGCTGTTACGGTCTAATAAGTAAATATAGAAAACAGCAAGGGCTGCTAATACAAGCTATCTCTGCTTTAAAGCATCTGTTTGTTTTCTCTGTGCCAGCACTGGGACTATTTCCAAATGGGTTCAGTAGTCCAACTGGGTTTGTTTATAATCTTAATGTCAATCAAACCATTGTTMGTTTATATCTTACCAGATTGTGGAGCTAATAAGTCTATCTGAACCCAGGACCAAAATGTTTGGTGTTTCTCTCATCTAGTTCAGATTATTTGAACTAATGATCTGTTTAAATGTTATGAACAATCAYTAGTTTACCTGTCTAAGATAATTATTTGAACAGTGTCTTAGAGTTTAACACTTAACAGAACAATTAAGACCAAGACCACAGTGGATTGCTGAAATCTTAAAATGTAAAAAAGCTGTTATGGAATTCAAATGGACATTATTTTATTTACCTTAATGTTTCGATACATTTTGRACAGCTTGGTTGTTTAAACTAAATTTGATGGTTATTCACAAACACATATAGCAATCTGTAGCATTTCAGGTGTAGACTGGGTTTATATCAGCAGTAATAGCAGAATACACTGCTCAAAAAAATAAAGGGAACACAAACAACGCACGCTAAGTCCCGATCTTAATCAATGAAATATTCGCATTGAGTACTTTGTTCTGTACAGAGTTGAATGTGCTTCACAAAAGTTTGATTTACTTGGACTTAGCGTGCTTTGTTTAAGTGTTCCCTTTATTTTTTTTGAGCAGTGTAGTTTCACAGAAATAAGTAATGTGAAATCATGGCAGGGTAAATGTTTATTAAACAGCACTATGAGAGGGGAGTTGTTTGACTGAAATTCACTTTGGTGTTGGCCCTGCTTGAGCTAAGTTCATCCCTTCAGTTTAAATCAAACGCAGTTTCTCCAGCCGAGATCAATGTTATTGAGAAATTATTTGTTCATAGCCTTTTAACATATGAAAAGATATCAGTTGTTGCCTTAAARTCACCAACAGAACAGACTTTCTGTACATTTATGCAGGAGTGTTTCACATGAAAGATAATATATTTCATTTGATTTATCACTGAGATCACAAATCTCTTTTTCAATGAAGGCCTGGGCCTGAAGGCAGCCCAAACATGCATGTTTTTGGACTGTGGGATAAAATTCACGCAAACGGGGGAGAACATGTAATCCACACACAGAAAGACCCCCAAGTCCAACCGAGGGCTTGAATCCAGGAATTTCTTGATGTGAGGAATCGGTGATAATCACTAGTCCACCGTGCTGCCAATGAACTGAGCAGAAAGAACAACTTGTAAGCATCAGCCCAGTAAAACTAACTGATAAGACAGAAGCAGTGGTAGACACTGTGCTGTGCTCTTCTTGGTGCTTTCTTAATTGCCTCTGTTCTTTCTGAGTCACAATCAGTAACCAGGATGAGAGACAATCCCTTCTCTGAGTGAAGGAAAGATCCATATTGACTTCAGAAGTGTTGGACTTTTCTGAATGACTTTACTAGAGTGGCGTGAACTTTGCTCACTATGCTCTCTCGTCATCAGGGTCAGGCAGGCTGACGAAACGAAAACTTATAAAGGCACGCAGGCTCAGACACCAGCGTGTGGAGAGGCACAAACAGGCGCGCTCACAGCCGGACATCCAGGATGGCCAGAAGGAGACGAGGCCGTAGCAGCAATGGCCAGCAACAACAGAACCCACAGAACCGGAGAGGAGGCCATCGCATGGTAGGTCTACAGGAACAGGGTCACTTTACATTAAATTTACATCTAAATAATCTTTAAAATAAATAGAACAGGAGTCTGCAACATTTGCAGTCATATTATGTATCATTTCTGTGCCTTGGCTCTAGTAAAATGTGTCCAACGCTGTAAAATGTGCTGCAACTTTGAGTCTTGAAGGGGACCTTTTTGGGGGCAGGGGCTGACATTATATAAATAAACATAGGGATTGTTAACTTTTATTATCATTCTTACACTAGGACAAATYAAAAAATCATATTCATGCAATAAAAAAACATATCTAGTTACAAATTAAAACATGGAACCATTTTATCTCTGTAAGAGAGGCAGGAGACAAACAAGAATATATAATAATTWAATTATTTAATAGTATTTCACTGCCATCTTATGTATCCTGACTTGGCATGTCATTCACTGTCAATTTTACCTCCATAACATGCACATCATAAAACATTTCTTGTGCTGAAGCATATATAAGCTTATGCTTTCACTGTCTTTGTAACAAAGATGTTTGAAGCAGAGCACAAGATCAAAGTATATCTCAACAACACGTCACTGCTCACAACACAAAGTCCAGGCCACACAGAGCATTAATGCAAAACGAAAATGGCCACTTGTGCCCTGATGGGGTTATAAATGTTTATCTTATTTAGATAAATGCTCTTGTTTAATAACTCAAATCGAAAGAATATAGTCTCAGCCTAGGGGTGCCAAGTGTAAAATAAAAAGTCACTGACGCATTTTCATTAGCTCACTTTCTGAATGTAATTTTTTCCACTAACATTTTATTGTTATTTAGCTCCCTGTTCTTACATTTTGCAAATTTATACTGAATGTGCAAATCTAAATGTAAGTTAAATCTTAAATGTTGCAGCTAAATGTTGAAGTTTACGTTTAAGTACTGAATTTCAAAATGGAGTGCAGACTTTGTTGTTGGTGCAAGGCTTATGTTTTGATGTCATCATCCTGAGACAATAGCAACCACTAACACTGCTAATTCTGCTTATGCTGCTAAAGTTTCTCTACATGACACCAAATTTGCAGTTGTGGCTGGTGCCTGAGCTGCACTTCAAACTACCCGACCACAGCTACCATCCATCATGTTTTCAATGAACACACTTTGGATCTAAATCTCTTTAGCAGTGGTATCAGCTTTACTGTTTGTGTTTATTGCAGGATGATGATGATGTCATCTAATAAAAATTAGTAAAATGTAAGAACAGTGAGCTAAATAATAAAATGTTAGTGGAGCATTTTAAACTTTAACACTGAGATAGTGGTAATGAAAATGTGTTTGTGGCATTTTATTTTACACTTGGCGTCTCATACCAGCCTGCATGTTTGTATAACCTCTGGATCTAGTTATGGTTTAAATAATCCTGCAGTGATTCTGTTTCACTAAGTCAGAAAAATCAAAAGGCTGCCAGTTGGTAACGCCTCCTCCTACCGTGCTTCAAACACAAGCAGGTTATTCAAGTTGGAAACGCTACAAATGTCCTCAGGAGTGAAGCAACTGTCAATACGCAATTTATAATAGAGTAAAACCAGCTTTTCCTGTAATTGTCATGGCACGACTCAGAACTAAAAACACTTAACCTGCTTTCTTTCATAATTTCTATTTTCTAGGCTCTGCGGGAGCCAGCCCCATTTGCCAAACCAACAGGTTGTGAGGCAGTTGTCCCACACGACGTGGTGACCATTTCTCAAGCACGAAAGGGAACGCCAGGTTAGCCTTTTCAGTCCGCAAATCCTGATGAGACTTCTAACTGGAAACGGAATAAAAATCAAGTCACTCAGACTTGACTGGGTCACCTAGTATCAGCTGATTGGAGCCATAAAAAGGGGATATCAGTTTTGCTTCACAGCTGATAAAAACATTGATGATACGCTGATATTTGTCTGAAGGAATGTGCCACGTCATCTGAGTGGTACAGGAGATTTACAGCTGTACAGATGGTCACGTGTTGTTTATTTGTATAGCTCACCGTCCAGTTCGAGTCTATGCTGATGGGATCTTTGATCTTTTCCACTCGGGACACGCTCGAGCTCTGATGCAGGCCAAAAATGTCTTCCCCAACACTCACCTGATAGTAGGAGGTAAAGTATGGATCTAATGTATCCATTTGACATAATCAGTGTTTTTGTGTGCATAAAACTGTACAACAAGAGCAACTGTCAGTTCATTTAGAGTTAAAATTGTATATCTTGTATTTAATTTAAGGCAATAAAAGGATAGTTAAGATGTTTTTTGAAGCGGTATTTTCTGGAGTTTATCAGTAATCTGTTTCTCAGTAAACGTTGCTCAATATCACTTCAGAATATCAGGCAGATGTTTTCTCGACACAAAAGGGCTATAGACCAGTCTGGACCTGTTCCAACACTGATTTATTTTAAACTGGGTTTCTGTGAAAAGGTTATGAAGAAAAAAATATCTTACCTGTGGTAGATATTCCCTAAACCAGTGGTGTCAAACCTGTTTTCACTGAGAGCCACATGAGAYTGGCCCTCAAAGGGACAGTTGCAATTAACTTTGATTAAACAGGAAAAAAAAACACGTTCCACATCTCATTGCTAAGACTGAGCACCGCTAACAAATGATAACTGAGCTCTACATGGTATTTCCTGCATGGTGGGGTGGGGGGCGTATGGAAGCTTTGGAATGCTTTGGACGTTGTTTCCTGTTTCCTGTCGTGTCTATAATTTATCTTCATGATTTAAACATATAATACTTTGATTGGTTTTTACTGATGGTTTGAACTGATGTATTTTTCTTCCAAATTATTTGTTTTTAAAAAAAGTCCATGTACAGTACAGACCAAAGGTTTGGACATACCTCAACTATGAAAACTGTAGGGTCACATTGAAGGCATCAAAGCTATGAATTAACACAGGTGGAATTATATACTTAACAAAAAAGTGCGAAACAACTGAAAATATGTCTTATATTCTAGGTTCTTKAAAGTTGCCACCTTTTGCTTCGGTTCTACTTCACACACTCTTGGCATTCTCTTGATGAGCTTCAAGAGGTAGTCACCTGAAATGGTTTTCACTTCACAGGTGTGCCCTGTCAGTTTTAATAAGTGGGATTTCTTGCCCTATAAATGGGGTTGGGACCATCAGTTGTGTTGTGCAGAAGGTGATACAGTGCACAGCTGATAGACCTACAGAATAAAAATTGTATTATGGAAAGAAAAAAACAGCTAAGTAAAGAAAAACGAGTGCCCATCATTACTTTAAAAAATGAAGGTCAGTAAGTCTAAAAAATTGGGAAAACTTTGAAAGTGTCCCCAAGTGCAGTCGCAAAAACCATCAAGCCCTACAAAGAAACTGGCTCACATGAGGACCGCCCCAGGAAAGGAAGACCAAGAGTCACCTCTGCTGTGGACGATAAGTTCATCTGAGTCACCAGCCTCAGAAATGGCAGGTTAACAGCAGCTCAGATTAGAGAACAGGTCAATGCCACACAGAGTTCTAGCAGCAGACACATCTCTAGAACATCTGTTAAGAGGCGACTGTGTGAAACCACTGCTAAGGACAGGCAACAAGCAGAAGAGACTTGTCTGGGTGAAAGAACACAAGGAATGGACAGTAGACCAGTGGAAATCTGCTTTGGTCTGATGAGTCCAAATCTGACGTGTCTTTGTGCAATGCAGAAAAGATGAATGGATGGACTCTACATGTCTGGTTCCCACCATGAAGCATGGAGGAGGAGGTGTGATGGTGTGGGATTGCTTTGCTGGTGACCTTGTTGGAGATGTATTTAAAATTGAAGGCATACTGAACCAGCATGGCTACACAGCATCTTGCAGCTGCATGCTATTCCATCCGGTTTGCGTTTAGTTGGACCATCATTTATTTTTCAACAGGGCAATGACCCCAAACACATCTCCAGGCTATGTAAGGACTATTTGACCAAGGAGAGTGATGGGGTGCTGCGCTAGATGACCTGGCCTCCACAGTCACCGGACCTGAACCCAATCGAGATGGTTTTGGGGTGAGCTGGACCACAGAGTGAAGGCAAAAGGGCCAACAAGTGCTAAGCATCTCTGGGAACTCCTTCAAGYCTGTTGGAAGACCATTTCAGGTGATTACCTCTTGAAGCTCATCAAGAGAATGCCAAGAGTGTGTGAAGCAGTAACCAAAGCAAAAGGTGGCTACGTTGAAGAACTTAGAATATAAGACATATTTTCAGTTGTTTCACACTTTTTTGTTAAGCATATAATTCCACATGTATTAATTCAAACAAGTAGTTTTGATGCCTTCAGTGTGAACCTGCCATTTTTATAGTCATGAAATTAAAGAAAACCCTTTGAATGAGAAAGTGTGTCCAAACCTTTGGTCTGTACTGTACACTTGATTGAGATAGCTGAGGTCTAGTTTTCAATGGCTGTTCCTTACCTAAAGGAGGCATTCAAAATGCTGATACAAAACATCAATAAAAACAACACCTAAGATAGAAAAATACATCAGTATAAAAGCTGAGAGATACAAGAAACAACAAAAATAAAATAACTGACAACTCCACTTCAAACYGATTTTAATTTTTGTTTTTAGTGTGCAGTGATGAACTCACCCACAAGTTTAAGGGCTACACGGTGATGACGGAGGATGAACGCTACGAAGCGTTGCGGCACTGTCGTTACGTCGACGAGGTGGTGCGAGACGCTCCCTGGTCACTTACCCCAGAGTTCCTCAAGAAACACAAGGTCAAAAGTCACAGTGTGTTGCAGGGTCATGCAGTCAAAAGAAAACAAAAACCAATGTAACATTTAACCAGTCCAAATGTTCCATTCACAGATCGACTTTGTGGCRCATGATGACATCCCGTACACATCTGCTGGATCAGAGGATGTTTATAAGCACATCAAAGAAGCAGGTGGAGATTCAAGCGAACCTTTAGGAATGGTCCCAAGTTGTTTGGTGTGTCAGTGGAAATCATTACAAAATGTGTGTTTTATTTACAGGGATGTTTGTGGCCACTCAGAGGACAGAGGGTATCTCCACATCAGATCTGATTACACGAATCGTTCGAGACTACGACATCTATGTCCGTCGCAACCTGCAGCGAGGGTACACGGCTCGAGAACTAAACGTTGGGTTCATTAATGTGAGTAATTAATAATGGATCTGAGGGGGAAAATGACAACGCACTGTAAGCTACATCTCCCTCTGCTGACAGGAGAATAAGTATCGGCTCCAGAACCAGGTGGACAAGATGAAAGAGACGGTTCGAACGGTGGAGGAGAAGTCGAAACACTTTGTCAACAGGGTGGAGGAGAAGAGCCAGGACCTGATTCTTAAGTGGGAGGAGAAGTCACGGGAATTCATTGGCAGCTTCCTGGAGCTTTTTGGAAAAGACGGCGCATGGGCACGTTTACTTTTATATCACCAAAATTAAACGGGGGGAAAAAACATTGGAAAATGAAACATTGAAGGAAGATTTCAATTCATTGGAACTTTGCTCTGTTGCATTATTAAAGCTTTTGTTGTGCATTCATGCCCTCTGGGCCTATTCCAGTACAGTTCATGGTTTAGCTACTTCCTTCCAATGCCGACATCAGAATGCTTAAGTTAGACCACAAAAGGAAAATAATATCTCAGTTGCAGCCAAATCTAAAAAAAGAGAAACTTGTAAAAATCACTGGAAACACATTTGTCTGTCCTGCCAGTTAAGAATTAATACTTTTAAAGTCATGAAAAGTAACAACAAACCCTCCATGTCACAGTTAAAACAACCTGTTTTGCTTCTTTCCTTTTTCAGCATGCCATTCAGGAGCGCAGTGGTCGGATGCTCCAGGCCTTGTCACCCTACTCGTCGCCCCGTGGCTCCCCCAGCAGCAGTCCCACCAGGACACGTTCAGTTTCACCCAAGGAYCTCCTCCACGCTGCCTCTCCTCCGTCCTCTCCATCCTCTCCATCCTCATCATCTTCACGCAAAAAAAAGGCACGCGCCTCTCTCAAAGCAGCGAGTCATTAGCCTGGAGCCTGAACTGTATCGAAAAAGTGGCTAATTGTTAGAATTAACATGTATAAATTGAGTTTTTTAATTTATTATGGCTGTATTAAAGTGTGAGCAAGCTATACTGTAAATAATTTGTTTTGTCAATTGCTTCTTTGTCACATCTGGCAGCCAAGAACAAGAGATTCCAAGTCTACTCTTAGGAATCTGCTTTCTTTTCACCATTAAAGAAACATATTTCCACCCACATGTTGGGCTTGGATATGTTTACTTTTTAGTTTTTATCGGTTAATATTGATGGCTTTGCAAAATATGTTAATAGAAATGTTTCACTGTACTGCCTTCTCTTTTCTGGCAAAAAAGAACATTTTTTCACCATTCAGCTAACCACTGTTACCTTCTATCTAGATATGAAGCTCATTTGAAGCGAAACTTATTGATTTTCTAAATGACCTTCCCTATTCCACAGATTTTGTGGATATAAAGCTGCAGGTTCATCACTTCCATCGTCACTTTATTGGCTTATGAAATAGTGAGGGGTGGATCTGACAGAGACTCTTGCTCTGTTAAACCTTATACCACAAAAGAAGAATGTCTTTCTGGCCATCAGATAGAATGTCAATCAAATATTTTAAGATTCAATGGTCAATTTAAAAATAAAATAGCAATTAGCAATAGTCTAAATAATCTATCTACTAGCAATGTGAGACAAAAATTAAATTGTTCAATTTCTAAGACTTCTAGCTCCCTCAAGTGGACAAAATGATATATTGCAGCTTCAAACGGAACCCTGCATGACTAAAAAACACAGTAGAGTCTTGTGCTGATTATGTTAATAACTTTCACAAATTATTTTGAAACGGACGAATAAAACTCGCGTATAAATGTATAAATCACGTTTCAAACATACTATTTTCAAATTTGTTGACGTGGGAAGCAAAGTAAAGAACATTGACAACAGCTGATCGAATCATCTTTGGAATCTGCGCTGGAGGGAAGCATCTTGAGGTTGTTTGTATCTTTGGTTCAATCATTAAATAGCCGTGAGTGTGACGTCACCGTCAGCCAGCGTCCAAACACTCGGATTAAATATGGCCCCTTCACCTGCGCTGAAGTGCTGTAAACGGACTCTGAATTGGATACCTGTCTTTTTTATTAACCTGGTCGTTGGCTGGTCTTATTACGCTTATGTTGTGGAGCTCTGTGTGTGTAAGTACGCTCACCTTTATTTGTATTGTAGCCCGCGTCGCAGAGGTTGTGTTGACACTGACTGAAGGTTGACAACTTTTCATTGTGAGATTTATTCTCCTCTCATGCTGAGTCTGCAGGTCAACATAACAACAACACGCCTTTTTCTGGTTTCCTGGTTAACAGTTCTACATATTCCTTCATAACAGTATGAATCTGCATAACCTGCAATTTTTTTAGTTCTAAATTAGTAATTTGTACAAAAAATACACTACAAAGCTACTTATTGAATAATAATAATAAAATATATATAATTGCTTGAATTGAGTCTGTTTGTYATAAACATTAGAAGCTGTGTGACGCATCCTGCCATGCTTTTTCAATAGGGTAATGTTAAAAAGAAGTACCAATAATCAAACTGGTTGAAAATTTTGTGTGTTTGATACTTTTCTGCTTTAATAAGATGTGAGTTGTCACATGCAAAAAAAAAAAAAAATGTTTTTAAGGGATTTTTTCAGGCTGGACTGATCCTAATCAAACTTGGCATTCATTTGCGCTGTAGTTTTTTTTTTCTCTCCTGTGGTCAGAACAGGGACATCCCTGCTGCAGAAACAAAGCTCTCTGTTATGGGGTGGTCACTGCTGGCCTGGCCGTGCCAGGCTGCTGCCACATGGTGCCATGGATGGTGCTGGGGGGAGGGAGGGGGTTGGCTGTATGTGAGAGGGATGCATTCATGCTAATCTCATCAAACTCAGTTTCTCATATATATACATTTTTTTTCTTTCCCTGCCTCATGCAGATACAATCTCGGACAATGCGGAACGAAGTAAGTGAAACCCACACGCACTGATCACCTCTTTACCGTTAAGTGTGTCATAACCACCTGAAGGTGAAAAGGATGGGTTTTAATGAAACAATGTGTTATTGGATGTAGATATACAGCTGATTACTGCTGGAGTCACTCATTCAAGATTGCATTGCTAATTGACACCACTGGATATCATGGCTGCCTTTTTCCCATCCCCGAGCCAGACAGATATTGAGCTAAAATTGGATGTGARATTAGCTGAGAATAATTCTGATATGCATTTCATGAAATAATTTAGAATTTTTGAATTGGTTGTTCAATGAGCTATCTACAACAGGTAAGATACTATCTGTCTAACCTTTCCACATAASCTCACTTCAAAAGATCTGAACTYTTACGTTAATAKATGGGAATATATCAGAGGAGTCTGTTCAACAACAAACTAATGTTTCTTTTTTTCTCTCTCAACAGTCAGCTATTTGATCATCTTTCACATTTTCCTCTCCATCTTTATGTGGTCATACTGGAAAACCATCTGGTCCAAACCAGCCGGTCCCTCAGCCGCAGTAAGGGAACAGTTTTCTCCTGAACTTGCAGCGGGCAAAATGAGAACATCATGGCCAATCATTTGGCAGTATTTAAAGKTTTGTTTAACTCCATTTATCGGTTCTCTTCCTGTTAGTTCGCTCTGCCCCGAGCAGAGAAGGAACTGTACGAGAAGGAGCAGCGAGCTGAGATGCAGCAAGAGATTCTGAAGAGGGTGGGGAAGAATTTACCCGTGTACACGCGCACAGCTGGAGGAGGTGAGGCGCTTACTTCAGCAGCAGCAGCGTTGCCTGTGCGTGGCAGGCCTCGGGGGGCGGGGGAAGCTTGTTGACTAAAATTGTACCACAAATACAGGAAGAAAGCAGAAACCTGTCCCCCGGTGTTTATCACACTTGCACAACTTGACACTAGCCAACACGAGGGAAAGTTGTGTAAATGTTGCATTTTGTCTTCCTCATTTATCATGATGGTGCAGAAAAGCATCGGCTAAAAGATGTTGCTTTTTGTGTTTTTGGAACTGTATGAGACTCCATGCAGAGTTGTAAAGTAACTAAGTACAAGTACTTTGTTACTGTGCTTAAGTAGAAAATTTGGCTATCCGTACTTTACTTGAGTAATTTTTTTCAGCCAACTGTTTTTCTTCTACTCCTTACATTTTTACACAATTATCTGTATTTTCTACTCCCTACATTTTTTAAAAAGGTAAGAAGCAGAAAGACATTACTCCTATTTCATTCTGGCTCATTATTGTTAAAATAATAAATAAATAAATTCTATCCCGATAAACTGTGCCTTTGAATTTAATTGTGGTTGGATAAGAAGTATAAATATATACCATTCTGACACATTTTAATTTGTACACAATCCATCACAGCTGCACGCCTTTAAAAACTGTATTTGGAAAATCTAACCTTTCATTTTTACTCAATACTTTAATACTTAAGTACATTTTATGTCAGAAATTTACTTAAGTATAAAATAAATCAGATACTTTAAGACGTTTACTCAAGTAATATTCTTAGAGGAGACTTTAACTTTTACCAAAGTAATTTTATGATAAGATACTTGCACTTTTACTCAAGTATCACTTTGTGGTACTTTATACAACACTGACTCCATGTTTTCTCTGTGGACCTAAACTGGAATCGTCTTCTAGTCTGTAAATTTGTGCTTTGTTCTGTTTTTCATCTCTTGCAAGGAAAAATCTGCATGAAATGTTAATAAGATGATAAAAAAAAACAGATTTAAAGCTGCAGCTTCACTAACGTGCAGAAAACACATCATATTCTCCTTTTTTTTAACCAGTTGCTGTAATATGTGAACCCACTTCTAATGATCCTGCTTTATTGTCGAACAGCCATAAGATACTGCGACTACTGTCAAGTAATCAAGCCTGACCGCTGCCATCACTGCTCCACCTGTGAAATGTGAGTCGAATTATAAATATTAGTTTTTCGTTGGTTACCCTCTGCCTGTTAGAAACATTATTCTTTGCAGACGTGTGCACCTCAACATGTTTTTGCCTGATATGATAATATGTACTGAAAAATCCTTTCTGCTAAATTAAAATAATGGTTAATAGCAAACAGAGTTTCAGTGATGTGACCTATATTTAACGTCATTTGTTACCAGCTAACCACACTGTTGAGTTGTCCTRGCCCTGAACAACATGGCCGCTCGCTAATTACCAAGAAAAGTCACGTGACAGCGCCTCTAGTCAATACACATCATTGTTAAAACAGCATCAGTCATTTTTTTGGGGGTTTTAAGTTGTTTGTTCCTTTAGTTTTTTGTTATTTTTTTTAAATACTGTTTAACATTTAACGGCTATATTACGTTGATAATTTTGAATAAATTAATGACTAGATTTGTGTTTTTCTCAATTTTTATTATCAAGGTGTGTGTTGAAAATGGATCATCACTGCCCCTGGTGAGACTTTTCTATTTTAATTTGCATTTAAGGTGCTCTTTATCTGGTTTTAATTAACTTATATTGAAATAATTATTATGTAATAGTTTGTTGATCATCTGTAAAAGAAAATATAACTATTTTTTTTTCTCTCGACTTACTTTCTTCCAGGGTGAAGAAAATGGATCATCACTGCCCCTGGTGAGACTTTTCTATTTTAATTTGCATTTAAGGTGCTCTTTATCTGATTTTAATTAACTTATATTGAAATAATTATTATGTAATAGTTTGTTGATCATCTGTAAAAGAAAATATAACTATTTTTTTTTCTCTCGACTTACTTTCTTCCAGGGTGAACAACTGTGTTGGGTTCTCCAACTACAAGTTTTTTATTCTGTTTTTAGCCTACGCTGTGCTCTACTGTGTTGTGATTTGTGCCACAGTCGTCCAGTATTTCATCAAATTCTGGACCGTAAGTATATACATATATTTGGACATTCTTTCTGCGCAGAAACTTTATTTCCAAATGAATTAAAAGATGCCAACAACAGAAGACTTGTCCGTCCAGGCTTACATGTTGGAGCCAGAGTCTGACCCAGAGCCAGAGGAGACTGAAGACCAAATTATAGTTGGCTTATTTAGAAGTTCCGCTGCAAAAACTGTGATGTAATAACTCAGAGAACTAAACATGTTAGATATAAAAAAAGAAACAGAATTTAAAGATATGGGCAGCAGGAGAAACCAAATTCAAKTTTTCTGCACTCCTAGAGACTCCCAAGTGCACAACAAAATGTATTTAACGGCTAAAATGTGGATTTTACATATGTCTCCTTTAAAAAAAAATCTAAATACTTTGTGAAATATTGCCACAAATGTAAAAAATAAAATAAAATAAATTCATGCCTTGAAGGACAATATGCAAAGAACAATCATACTTTTTGTCTAAGGTTGTGTAAAGATGAAGTGCATTCAGGAAGTTGTGTATCAGCCATAATCGTTGCATCATGAGTTAATGACCCGTCAGTTTAGAACAGTAGACTCTTTTATAAGACACCTCAAACCAGGACTTTGACGCCCTCTGGCCACTTTGGTGTGGTTTCTGAATGAACAGAGGTGCTTTGTGCCATGAAACGAGGCAGTAGCAGAGCAGAAACGCTCGACATGCGAAACCATAATCTCTGTAATTACATTTATTTCACTACCTGTGCAGGGATCYATACACAGAGCAGGAGAAGTTATTKAGAGAGGCAGCAGTGAAGGTGTTGGTGTTTTCCATTCAGTTGACTTCTGGTGATGGAGCTGAGGGCAAACACTTCAGTGGAGATGCTTTTTATCATCCAAAGTGCACGCATCCACCTGCAATTCTTCCTTATTTGAACCAGTGATGTTATTCGGATATAAAATGACAGATTGGACTTATTTACTAAGAAAATATYTCAAATAAACGTGACAAATAATTGACCGGCTCAACTAACTTTTTATTGTTATTTTCTCCCCCTCTGTTTTCAGAAAGAACTTCCTGACATGCATGCTAAATTCCACATCCTGTTCCTGTTTTTTGTGGCTGCTCTCTTCTTCATCAGCATAGTGTCACTTTTCAGCTACCACCTGTGGCTTGTGGGGAAGAACAGGACCACTATAGGTAAAACAGAAATTGTTTCCCTTCCGTTCAACTTCTTTTTTTTTCTTCATTTTTTTAAAACAAAAAACAAACTCATTCTTTTTCAGAGGCTTTTAGAGCTCCTGTTTTTGCAAAAGGTCCAGACAAAAACGGGTTTTCTCTCGGCTTTAGAAGAAATCTAGCAGAGGTGTTTGGAGACCGGGTAAAGTACTGGGTCGTTCCTGTTTTCTCCAGGTGAGTGTGGCGTGTTGGGATTCAGCTGTGGCAGTAATCAACATCGTTTTTAGCAGCGTTCAAACTGCAGAAATCCAGTATATAACCCATATAGGATTTTTGTTTTGCGACAGTCTGAACTTATGACAGTTTTTATCTCAAATTTGACTCAGGTCTTTTTTTCATATGTGGAACAAATCAGATACTTGTTTTTCAAAGTGACAGTGGTCATGGTCATGCCGTGTTTCATCTAACTTTTACATTGAATTTTTTGTAAATAGTTTGATCTAGATATTGATATTATTGTTTTAAGGCAGATTTTTTTTTGTATTTTACTTCTAGATAATTCACACCAACATATGACGCTAACACTAGCATCGACTTTATCAATACTAGCATGATGGGATTGAGACTACTTTCAGTACATCTTTCATTTTAGGAATGCAGTTCTGCACCAGCACAGGCAGGAAGTTGCAAGGTCGCATGTGAACACTGGACGAAACAAGCAGAGCAGATAATAATTTACTGATTGCGCAACAACTTCAGAATAGATCCGTGCATGCCAGTGCATGCTAATGTGTAGCATCCATATTTCCTTCTGTGAACACAGCGTGTGCGACTTCCTGCCTTCTTCTGTAGGTCACATTTAAATTATAATGCGACCCACATATTAAGACATGCAGTTTGGACGTGGCCTCAGACTTTTCTGATGAACATATCATGTTTACCAAACGTTGTTTTTATGTTTTACAGTCAGGGTGATGGCCATTCCTTTGTCACCAGACTGGTGCACATAGATCCTGAGCAAGCAAACAGCATCCTCCAACAGAACGGCAAAATGTTAGTTTCCTTTCTCCCAAACATCCAGTGCTGATTTTTTTGTTTTGTTTAATTAGTATTAAAGTGACTTTAATTACAGCCCTGCTAATGGAGAGAACAACCAGTGTGTGTCACAGTCAGAGGACAACAACAAAGAGAAAACTGGTACGATCATGAAGTTATTTTCTGTTTTTTTTAAATAATTTTACAATTTAAAAGTTGATTAAAAAAACGGTGTTGCGTAATTTTTTTAATCTCAGACGGAGGTCAGACAGTCGCTGTGACGGTGGACAGCGAGCCTTAAAAGGTGTGTAAYCACAGAGTTTTTATTTTATTTTATTTTTTGTCCCTTTCTTGTGTTTTATTTGTGTTTCTGCTGGCTGTCTTTGTAGATAACACACACAAACACTCACCTACGGAGGTATCAACAATGGTGCCTTAAACCCGGAGCAGCAATACCTCCAGGACGACACTTGGCACCACAACAATACTGTTGTCATGACAACAAACACCCCACAGCGACGTTGTAGACTGCAGCAGTCTGAAACAAATGGGATTTTGTTATTAGCCAAAGACATTAAAACTATAGCATTTTTATTGCATCTTTAAAAAATCTCTGGGAGCCACCGTATTTGTTAATCAGTTTGAACAAAAGATTCATCTTGTCAGTATTAACCAAATATATAATAACTATAGTTGTGTTTCTTGAGCCACTAAAGCAAAAATAATTGCAAAATGATACATTTTAACACTGTTTCTGTCTGCAACGTGTCACATTTCAACTCCAAACAGAGCATATGTGAAAGCCAGTGGTAATTTATTACAAATGTAGTTTACAGTTTATATTTTTTAATATTTACACCTCATTTTGTTTACATTTTTCACATTAAATTTTAACACCCCCCCCCCCCCATTTTATAATAAAACTTTCAACTGACTGCTGCCTTTAAGGACCAAAACCAAGTAGTTAAAAAAAAAAAAAAAAAAAAAGTAAAGGATCATTGTTAGTGGAGCGCCTGCTGAGAAATTATACTATCGTCTTTCATTGCACTATAAATGTTGTCTTTAATGGTTTATATGTTTTTGAAATTTTATTTATTTGAAAGCAAAGCTCATAAAATGCACAGTTAAAGTGCTGTAAAAAAGAACGTGAAGTCAGGAAGTTCAGGGTCATTTTTTTTGTTTGTGTGTCTGTGTCCTCGAGTTTCAAAGCAGATCAGATAAACAGATTTATGTCAGGAACGTGTCGTTTTCTGAGCGTTTGGTTCGTGTTTCATAGAATTGCATTCCTCATTCATGATGCACAGTTTGTATGAGTGATCATAAATTACACAGACGCAGAAAAAATGTTTGTATCCTTTTTGTTAAAGAAAAAAATGAATCCACAGTGGTCACCGAATGCCTGAAACTGATGAAAGTAGAAGAAAATTACTCGGTTTGCTTTTAAATTTTGTTTCACTACAATTATTAAAAAAAAAACAACAAACTAATGAAGCTGGTTTTGACAAAAAGGATGATACCCTTAGCTTAATAGTTTTTTGTGCAACCTTTTGAGGAGACTTCCTCACCTGTCCACAGGTATTTAGATCCATTCCTTCTCCAGCTAGCTCAGGTTTGAAGGGTGACTTCTCCGGACTATTTTGGGTACTTATTTGTATTATTAGTCTCATCAGTTTTCCTCTTGAGGCCACATCCACAGAAGTTGACTGTAGTGACCCTTTAAATCGACAAACTGACTGATTACAAGWAGACATCTGTGATTCACTTTTTCATTATTCTGGTGAACCAAAATTCTGTCATTTTTCCTGTTTTATTTCTAAGTTGTTTCACTGACCTTAGTGTGTTTTTCTTTTTTTTCTTTTTTTAACAAAATGATCTGTGTCTCTAAGTATTGCTGCTGTGAATGTTTAAATAGTACTTTAATGCTTCACTGACTGAAGTAAAAGCACAATTAAACAGCTTCAGCTGGATTTAAGTATGTGAATAACTGCTTTTTTTTGGAGAAAACTGTTTATGCTAAATTATACTGATTAATCTGTAAAAATAAAGGTAATAAAACACTCTTAAGCTGTCATTTTATTTTTATTAAAACTGATTTGATGGGAGAGAGATTGGAGGTTGTCACAAAAAAATTCAGCTGATTGTCTCTCAGATCATCACAACCAGACGTCTCAGTTGATCAATCTGAAGAGTTTACTGTAAGCATGTGACATTATATATTTTACATTTTATATTCATACATTTGTTATGGTTTGACCAAAAAAATGTTTGCAGAAATGCTAAAAAATGGCAAACACTAGTTAAAATCTTGTGAATTGGAGTTCTCTGGAAATAATGTAACCAAAGAATATCTTACCTGTTGTAGATAGTCTTATTCAGATTGGAAAAACAGTTTAATTCTGATTGGACTGACGAGCTAACAGCTAGTTTTAGTCTGCATCTTCATGTTATATGGTTGCAGCAGGAAAAAAAATCTGATAATCCTGCTGAAACTACCAGAATGRATCAGATGTGTAACAAATAATTTATTTTGTGTACTGTAAATAATCATGTAATGTAATATTAGGATAGAGTTGAGG